CTTTCACTAAAGTTCAATTGGGCTTAGTTGTAAGAAAAGCCTAAGAAACCTAGAGCCCTTTCACCTTAGGGCTAGGATTTCTTGGAACCTATATATATTCTACAATTAACGTCATCAGCCTTTCTAGAGTCTTTACTTTGTGGTAGAAGAGGTTGAGGTAAGTTCATCTTCCTAAAAGTGAGAGAGTGCCCACACACTGTCCTATTCCCCCTTGAGAGATAGTCTAGAAGGTCTGCTGCCAACCAGCTACAAGGAGATTGTTCGTGTTGTGACGCATATGAGATCAGTTCGTGAAGGGATTTTACACACAAGGAGGTTGCTCATAGATCTGCGCTTAAAAATGTATGTCTTGTGTGTTAGTGAGACAATGATGATTCGGTAAATATATCAATGTACTAGGTTTTAAATTGCTTCAGCGTAAATTCAATAGTTCCTACAGTAAGTTGGGAGGACGCCATCGTGGAACATGTGATTGGCTAATCTTGGTCACAGGGCAAAACTCTTTATTCGTGGTGTGTTGAAGTCTTGATTTTGTGTACATTGTCGCGGGGCTATGGGTTAGGCGTGAAGTTTAAGCTATTAAGTGATGTTATATTAATGGTTTTATATATCTCTAACATGCCCACTCACATGAGAGTCCACTGGACTTGAAGGATAGATAATCACCTACTTATGTTAAGAAATTCCACAAGAGAAAATGTGAGGGTGGTGAGAATCAAACCCGTGACACGAAACTCTGATACCATATAAAAAACCAATTCAACCCAAAAGTTTAAGCTAGTAGGTGAGGTTATATTAATGGTTTTATATATTTCAAACAGTGTGATCATAAGAGGTCAACCCATATAGTATTTTTGAACTAATTTATAGATCTATAGCTACCAGTCGCGCCAAAAATAAATGTGACTGGTCGCCCCCCCCAATTAGGCGCAATAGGGTGCAAGGTTGCCCCAATCTGGTACAATCGGTCCAGTGTAGACACATGGCACAAAAAAGTTAACAATTTAACTGCAAAAACTTTTAAAAGTCATAACTTTTGACTCGGGTGTCCGAATTAGGTGTTTTTTTATTCCACGTAACTTTTCGAGAGCTACGTGTTGGCAAATTCCCTTGGTTAAAAAAAATTCCCAAAAAATATTTTTGTGTGCCCTGTTGACATATTTTATCTTTGTGAATGATGTTATTCCAAAACTAACAAATAATCCTCCGGGAATATTCCAGTGCATAGTTCTCAAAAAGTTACGTGAAATAAAAAAAAAATCCAAATCAAAAGTTATAGTCTTCCCAAGTTTTATGGTAAACTTGAGCTCATGTAATCGATTACACAGACCATGTAATCGATTATATCATTCAGTCATCGGTCAAACATGGACCTACATTTTTGTTTTAAAAATGGGCAAATGAGTCCAAAATCCAAATAAACGTACTAGTTCATTTTTTTGGATAATTTCGGGACATAAAATGCTCTTGAGGTGGCATCATTGTTGCAAATTCGAAAAAAAATTCGAAATGTTTTTTTACCAAATCTCCTTTAATGAGATGTCATTATGTAGATCTCGAAAAGTTATGTGGAATAAAAAAATATTATCTAATTCAGACACCCGAGTCAAAAGTTATGATTTTCGAAATTTTACGGTCAAACTATTAATTTTTTTGTACCACGTGTCAACACTGAACAGAACGCGCCTAGATTAGGCGTGACCATGCACCCTATTGCGCCTAATTGGGGTGCGACTAGTCACGCTCATTTTTAATGCGAGTGGTTGCTATAAATTCGTAAATTAGTTGCAAAATACTATGTTTTCGTAACTTCTTATTTAAATAATAATATGTAAATTGTTTTGCCATCATAAGACAGGTTTTGAATTGGTTCAGTAGATTGGTCTGCTGGACCATATCTTCGGTTCTTTAAATTATTTGACATTTATAATTTTTTAGATCTAATCAATGATGTAAAAATATAAGTTTATGTTCTTATATTCATTTTTTCTATAATTAAAAAAACGTTTTAAGAAATAAATTAAGTAAAATATATGATTAGCACATATAAAAGAACTAAGACTACAATAAATTAATATCCTCGTCAATAAAGTATAATACAACGCAGTGGCGGACTCAGAAAATTTTCTTTATGTCTGCACATTTAGGGCGGGGGCGCCCCCGATCTTTTTTTTAAAGATCATAATCATGATTCAATTTTTGCTTCCACTTCAAAAATAAAACTTCGATGAATCAACCAAAGTTTTAAGGAAATAATGGATAATGATAATTAAAAAATAGAAAAAAGTTCACCAATGCCCCTGTGGTTTACTCCAGAATCACTTATGCTCCTGTGGTTTTTTTATCTCATATGCCTCTGTGATTTACAAAAGAGTATGTTTTTTTATCACATATGCCCCTGTGGTTTTTTACTTTTTACAAACCACAAGAGCATATGTGATAAAAAAAAATACAAGGACATAGATGATTTTAAAGCAAACTACAATGGCATTGGTGAACTTTTTCCTAAAAAATAAATAAACACCACAAAAAGACATTTGTAAAATATAGTATAATTGTAGGGGTTAATCGATCAAAAACCCATCTTTATCGATGTCTATTTGATCCACAGTTGGCCCGTTTTGTTTCCCAAAAAAAGGTGAAAAATCTCATGTGATTCTCCTCCACTCTTTACCTTTTTTCTTTCAATTTTTTTATTTATTTATTTTTTACTTGACTTGAATCACACATCCCATTTGAATTTTTTCCCCTACAATTTTATGTCTGCAAGTGCAGACAATGACAACCACCTGGGTCCGCCATTGATACAACGCGGGTATACAAACCTTGATATGAGTTTTTTTAATACGTTAGAATATATTCATTTTTAATTTAATTTAAAGTATATTGTGATTTCAACTACTTAGATTTAAATATAAACACATCTTTACTTGATTACTTCGGAATAAAAGTTTTGTCCAACAAAAAAAATAAAAAGAACTGAATCAACAACTTGAGCATTGGACTTGAGTGAATTATAATATGTAATAATAAGAGTGAACTACTATTTTTATCCCTAAAGATTATGCTCACATCAATTTGGTTATTGGAAGGTGGAATGTGACATTACATTAGTCCTTCTATCAAGCCTAGTTAGGACCGCATCAAATTCAGTCCTTTGTGGATTTAATATGCTTATGTGGTTTATTAAATCGAGCTTGAACCGCATCAAATTCCATGTGTTTAGCCTTCATGAGTAGGAAGGAAGACATGATGGAAAGGTGCACCATAAGAATTGAGAATTGCAAACTATAAAAGGTGAAATGATTGAGTTACTAGGCTGTTATTATAGGGTTCCATGAGGGATGAGATATCTGTTTATGTATGAAGGCTGAATGTGGAGGTTATACAACAGCTATAATCAGCAAATAAGGTCTGAGATGTAGGAGGATGGTGGCTATGGCAAAGGGTACTAGGTGATTGTTTTTCTTTGTTTATGTGTATACTTTGGGGAGTTTTATTAATTTCATGTTAAAGAAGACAAGTTATTTCATGTCATAGAGATAAACTTGTGGGCTCCACCACCTGAAAAGTAAAAAAAGAAAGAAAAAAAAAAGTATTATCGAAAAGTATGTAGAAGAGAAATTTATCACATGCGGCATAAGAATAGTTTTCCCATACTTTGGTTCATTTAAGACAAATATGTTGAAAAATCTCAGTTAAAAATCTTTAAACAAGAGGTACCCCAAGCCTTATTTTTTATCCTCAACCTTCTTATTCTTGCTACCATTTCTACTCTGTTTTTCTCTTAAAGTGTACAGTGCTTACGTGGGGAAAGTGTGTGAACTGTGAAGGTAGTTTCATTTAATTTTTGCAAATTAAATTAGGCAAATAACAGTAGTTTACATAAGATGAAGTTTGACGGTATCCTGAATGAGCTTAATAGAAGAACTAGCAGGATATCACTTTCTATTTTTCAGAGACTAAATTAATGTTATTAATCTTTTACGGATCAATTTGATGTTAACTTATTTTTTAAGTGATCAAAATAGTAGTTTATGCTACATAGAAATACTAAGAGTCTAAGATGTATAAATACATTAATTAAAAGGATCTATTAATCTCATGTTGCACGAGATAATTACCTCATGCAACAGAGATAAAATTGTGGGGTCCACTATTTAAAAAAAAATAAAAATAGTAGACCCACTATTTTGTCTCTGTTGCATGAGATATAACATGAGATAATTATTTTCCTTAATTAAACTGCTAAACATGTATACAGATTTATGGTGCAAAGCATATCTAAAATCTTCAATTCACCTAAGAATTATTAATGTCCGTTTGTCTCGCTAATAACGTTTGACTTCCCAGTGTTAAGAGGGTTGCTTTTGTATTCGGTAAATCATATACTCAATTTGTCAAATCGCTGGCATGTCCATATAAGTGTGAATGTATAAGATTCTTATACCCACCACCACTATATTTTATGATGCGGAACTGGGGATCAAGTGTTATATTTTCTGCTCCAGCTATTGCTTTTTATATTTGCTAAGGGTAACTAATGAAGTTTATTTCATGAAAATAGTAATTAAAGAATCAACACTTTTCTAATGCTGCCTAGATCTCATAACAAGGCACAGAAGCCTCCCTGGTCTGCGGTGCAAAACGTGTACGTTTCCACTGCCATCAACTTAGAACAAAATCTGAGTGTTCGCAAAGTTAAGCATGATGATATATGTCATTCTTTAATAAAAATAAATTAAGGTTATGTTTAGATATCTAATAGTGAATAAAATAGAATGGAATGAGATAAAACGAATGGAAAATATCTATAATTGAGAATAAATTAAAAAAGTATTAAGTAAAGATCATTAAAAAAAATAAAAATATTAAAAACTAATGTGTGTTAGGGTGAGTGGAAAGGACTCGGTCCATTAAAAATTAGAAATGTTAATAACTCTACACATCAACTACTGAATAATATACTTGTTTATTTGACATTATAAGCACAGGGTTGTTGAAGGCTTATGAATCCTTATCATTGTTGTGCAGAAATGTAGAAAGAGGAAATGTCATTATACACATCAATATATCATTTACAGGATCCAAGGGGCCAAGAATACTCTCATCATGCTAACCTATACTGGTTTCGAAAGTTTAAGCACCTCCTGAAACATCTCCAGCATTAGCTCCCTATCAGCATGCTGGAAAAAGGAACTTAATTCATCATCTCTAACATCATATATCTTACCAAATTCAAATAAGAATTTAAAACATCCTTTCTTTAACTTGTGTAATTGATAAAACCAAGCCTCATTTAGCATCTCAAGAACATTTACTAAGTTAAGATCTTCCAGTAGGCTTTCCTCGCAGAAATCTTTAAGACCACCAATGTCATATTTATTTGCTGCTCCAAGCAATGCAAGCCGGTGTTTACAGAAATCTTCTTGTTTGATTGTTCCATACAAGTAACTTAGAAGAGCCATGCAGGATTCAAGTGACATGTCTTCTATATGGATTGTAGACGACTTTTTTTCCTTCAGGTTGTGATGAAACATGCTCTGGAACACAGGAGAACTTGCGGACAAAACTGCCTTGTGAGCTCTCAATGTACCATCAGCAGTGATAATGGTTAGATCAGCATGTATAGCCTCATCAAGCATGCGAGCAAGGCAACGAAGTGTACTACTTTGAGCTATAATGGATTGCAAATTTCCATCAGATGGCCATATTGAACGTGCTTCTCCACCCTGAGTTCACAATAAAAGATCAAAGGTTAAGCAGCAACTACCTGAAACTAGTTCAGAGGGCTGGGGACAGTTCTAGTCTATAGAGAACAAATTATGCTAAGCAAGTAACTCAAACCAACTTCAGGGGCATGTATTCAGAATGTCATCTGCCAGAACAAAAAACCACTCCCCGTTAAACCCGACTAGCGAGTGGCGGGTGGAGAAAATCCTTGTACGCAGCCTTATCCTTGCATAATTGCAAAGAGGCTGTTTTCTGGATTCGAATAATCGCAATAATTTAGATATATTCTGTGTCTAGGCTAAACGATTAAATAGTTAGAGGGAAACCATTATATTCCTCAAGAAAATATAGAATCATTTATGTACATCAATATCGTGTATTATAAAATAATAATAATAAAAATCAAGTATAGGAGAACTCACATTCAGGGGGCTTATCTTCAGGTCTAGAAACTCAACATCAATAATGAAGCGGCCAACAAAAGTAGTATCAACATGCCAGACAAAGTCATCATGATTCCTAAGCAGCCTTTCATGAACTGCAGCATTACAAGCAAAAAGAAATGAAGACACGACCTATGTCAGCATTTCATTATATAATCTTGGAACAGCTTCAGACAATTGCAATTTCAAATTATTCGCCAATTTGAATTGCAATATGAAACATGCTTCAGGTAATTGCAATTTCATTATATAATCCATACTTCTTCTTCGAGTAAGGAAAACAGGGCACCAGGCTCAGAACTTCAGGTATAAATAAAAGGCCTTGAAATAAACATTGGTTAGGAAGAATTGTTGCTTCAAAGGATGATCGTTATTTTGCTTTATTATCTTCAGAGCTCACATTAAAATGCTCTTGTCATTCATTTTTGTTTGGAATGGAATCTAAACCTCAGAACAAAAGTCATATAAATGGGGATTACCTCCTAACAAGACCAAAGAATATGCTCTAGTCAAAATTTCAGTGTCTAAAAATCTAAACTAAACTAAACCTCATATAAAAAAGAAGAAGCCTTTACTTTACCATTGATCTTCAAAAAAAAGAGTTTATCCCCTTCTCCCATTTTAACAAATAAAAAAGAACATATCATATCAGACACATAAAAGAAGTGAATTAAAGAAAAACATGTTAGAAGATCATAACTAGGTTTTGATAAGACCCAATAGGTTTAAACGAAGGAGAAGGAGAAGAAGAAGAAGAAGAAGAAGAGGTGTTAATTAATGATGCATAGCATACCAGGGGAAATATGAAACCTGCGGGATGAGCCGGCATTGGAGACTCGGAGAATGAATCGAGCAAAAGGTGGATGTTCCTTAGAAGGTTCTGGAAAAAGATAAATGGAGAGGCACCTATTCCTCACTATTGAAAAGTACCAGTTCCAGATTCCGACCTTGAAAGGCTCCGATTTCTTGTAGGAACAAGGTCCGAAGTCGTCGATTTTCCACTGGGCTAATCTAGCAACTGTTTCTACCATGGCTTTCTTTCTCTGTTGCCAAAGACCAGAGTAGAATAGCAGATACAACGTTTAGATTGTAATGTGTCTAAAGCATTTTGACTTGCCTCTCTTGCTTGAGGGTTAAGTTAATTCTATAAATGGATACGGTTTAAATCATGTAAGATATCTTATTTTAGGAGAGAGATAGACACGGAAAAATAGAAATCATAAGAGATAGAAAGTGGGTGTTTTTTTTTTAATTTAAAATTTAAATAACTTTTTTTTCTGTGTTTGTCTCTCTCTTAAAAGGACAGAGTGTTATGTCATTTAAAGTAACAAACACTTTTCCCTTCTATAAATACCATAAAACCATTATTTGAAGCCCCGTTGCTTTTATGTTTTACGATTATACTTATCTCACTTTGCACGAGAGAAATAACTTTCTTACACATTCAAAGGAGGGAGGAGGGGTGAATTCCACCTTCTTCTTTTTTTCTCTTCTCTTACCACACACCCCTTGTAATTTTGTTTCTATAATATAAGATAATTATTTTCCTACAAAATAAAAAAATTATTTCTCCAAGTTTTATTACTCTATTCGCAAATATTTCTCACTTTTTTTCTCGTAAAAAAAAAAAACCTAAGTAAACAAAGCAAAAATTACATGGTTATTAGGGGTTATAATTTTCAACATCTTCACTAAAACAACATGAATACCATACAAAAAATTCGGGTTCAGCTTGATGTGTTTTCAAATTCGTATAGTATTTGTGTTAACAAAAAAATTGGCATGAAAAAATTTGTGTCTATTGTGTGTCAACCAGGGGACACAAAATTAATCTATGTTGATTTTTTTACAAATTATCCATTTCGTGTTGTATCATATTGTGTTGCATCATGTCGTATTAACATAACACTAGAGAAAGTAACATTTATTTGTGTTAAGTTATGTGTGTGGAAGGTTTTAACTTATTTTTAAATTTGTACTAAGTATATTTATATTCATATTAAATTCGGATTATATGATCTCATATCAACCCAAATTACCATTCTTAATGTGACTCTTTAATTTTAGCTCTTATGTCGTTATTTTATTACTTTTTTTTAGTTTACTAACTGGTTCATCTTTCGGACTATATTCGGTTCGAGCACTTGTCAGATTCTATTAAAAGGAACAACTCTCCCAAATTCTTTTTTTCATTCTCAATGTTCGAACTCGAGACTTTTGATTAAGGGACTCAAACTCCTTAGTCCTTACCATTTGTGCCAAAAGTGTTTGATGCTATTCTATTACTTAGATGTGGTTATTTATGGTATATTGGAGGTGGTTCATGATATTTTTTTTTGAAAACTATGGTTCATGATATATTGATATTATCAAATTGCAGTTAACAACTGTAAGTAAAAAGCTTTTGGTATGACTAACAACTAATTAGACACATGTCCTTTGCTTACCGTGATAGATTTGCTTGTTTCACCTTTTCATTGATTCTCAAAGAAAAAGAAAAAAAATCAATCCACTCATGTTAAAACTTTGAGAAATTGAAAAGTTATGTTATAGGAACATAATTTTTTTTACCTACAGATACATGGAAAACAACGCGAGCCCTTTTCTTTTCTTTTTTCAAAAAAAATATACCGTGGACCCCACAGACATTGTGTCTGCAGGAAATTGGGGGTTTTGTTCTGTAACATTACAGACATAAACCCCTAAAACTTTATATGAACGGATCAATTTTCACATGATCACATGTGAAATTAAGGATTCGAAAAAAAAAAACAACTTTCCCTTGTTGCTTGGATTGGAGTGATGAGAACTAAGCTCTCTTCTTAGGGCGTGTATGACAACTATCCCGGAATCAATTATTTTTTAATTTATGTTCCCGAGATGAACCGGTTTAATTTTTGTGCTGGAAAACAGAAAAAAGAATCAAATTTTTTTTGTTTTTTTGTTCTCGGGTACAAAATGAGAAACACTTATCTCTCTCAATCACTCTCCACCTCTACCATCATCACCACCACCTCCATCATCCCGACACGACTGTCGCCACCATTGTACCATTAGTGCCGATGTCACCACCACGATGCCACCGCCACCATTACCACCACCTCCACCCATCACTACCATCATGCCACCGTCACCACCACCACAACTACCACTACCACAACCACCATCACTATCACCGTCATCGTCATCACCACCATCACCACTATCACCGTCATCGTCATCACCACCATCACACGCCACTGCCACCACCCTCATCGTCATCACTACCACCACCATGACGTCACCACTACCACCAACCACCACTACCATTGTCGCAATCACTACTGTCACCACCGTCGTCGTCGTCGCGGCCACCAACCACCACCACCATCGCTACCATTACACCACCGCCACCATCACCACCACCACTATCATCTACCACAACCGCTGCAGCCACTGCCACCACCACCACCATGATGCCTTTACAACCACCACCACCATGCCACTGCTACCATTGTTGCCGCCACCAACCACCATACCCACCACCATTGTCGTAGTCACTGTCGTCACCTCCACCACCACCATCCCCACCACTACCACCGCCGCTGCCACCATTACCACCACCATCATCGCAGCCACTGCCGTCACAACCGTCGCCGCCGCCACCACCACAACCACGCCATATGAAAAGAAAAGTGATGATCCAAATTTTTTTTATATTTAATAGGAATTGTTTTTTATTATATTATTTGTTGTGTTATCAAACACAATTCTCATTCTCGGAATAAAAATAAAACATGTTATCAAACACATTTTTTTTTTCAGAAACTGTTTCAAGGCACAAAAATAAAAAGGAATTGTTTCTTTTCAGAAACAATGCTCGGAAATAGAATGGTTGTCATGCACACCCTAAATGAAGTGATTTTTATAAATAAAAAATAATGGATAACTAAAAATAACTTGACTACCTTAAAAAAAAAACCCTTGACTTATAGTTGAGTTTTTGTAAATTCGTTTTTTAAAAAAGCAACCATTCTGATTTTTTATGCCGGAGAATTCATTTTTATAATTTATCATCTAATCTCTTTATAACTAAGTCTATATATACACACATCATGTCAATTTTTTTTTTGAAGTTAACATATAAAAATACAAAATAATTACGTTATAAAGAATGAACTGCAAAATGACACCAAAAATTAAATCAAACTACAGGTTAGAAAAAAAAAAATCATGTCAATTCTCAGCGCATCACATATCTGGACCATTTTCGTGTAAATCAAAAGTGTACGCAGTGAGAAAAAAAATTATTTAAATTCTCGAATGAATAATGTTATGATTCGAAAGACAACAATTAAACATCTGAATCCATTATTTGCAACAAACTACATTATTCCCCTTATGTACAAATCGGTATTATTATAGAGAATAAGATTCCATCATCAATCTAAGTGCAGAAAGCAGAATAGAAAGATAGTTCCGCAACATGAACCCAGAATCAATCTCAACACCCCATTGTCATCCATACATATAATTACACAAATTCCAATGGCCTAATATTAAAACTTACGGAATATTTACGAATGCACCAGCTTTATTTTGAGGCATCATTCAACCAGGTACAAAATAATCCATTTTCTCCACAGGAAGATTCAAAACAGATGTCTCCACCTGCACAAAAAATAAAATAAAAATTTAAGCAGTATTCAGATTTCAGAGAGAACGAAGTGTGATAAGAGCCTAAACAGGAACCAAAGAATCTCTTTTAATAATTATTCGTTGGCCTTTCGTGGGGTATTATCACTTGCGTTAAGTGTTAACATGCTCCTCTACAAACATAAGATAAAAGAAAAGTAATTTTAAAAATATGAGAATCAGGTTGTACTTATTAGTAATATTAATCTGTCATCCACCGTAACCTACTTATATGCTAGCAACTAATGTATATTTTTAAACAACGTTAAGCAAAAAAATTTCAATTTTAATAACTTTTACAAAGTTAATGTACTTGATTGACTAAAATTGAAGTTAAAGGACTTATTAAAGCATGATATTACATATATGAACTTTATCCCTTGTCTACCGAAGGAAAAAGAAAACTATCCCTTTAATAAAAATAATATAAAGCCTAAAATAGAGTTTAAGGAAATTTTTTACTTTATAACATTAATTTAAAAACCATTGAAGACATTATTTAGACAAAAACAAAAATAGAGATGAAACGCTCATTGAAGGCAGGGGCTCATTAAAAAGTTTATTGCTCAATTAGGTTGCTGAAACCTGAAAGCCAATAGGAAAAAGACTAAAAGTGAGACAAAAATGTACCTCTTCGAAGGGAACAAAGACAAAGGCAGTCATGCCCCTCTTATGTGAGACTGCTGGCACATCTGGGTTGTGTGTTTCATCATCCTGCCATCCTCCAACAACACCAAGAATGTCCTCCTCAGGTGAACTTGCCTCGCTACTGTTCACACCACTAGTGAGAAGTGATATCAAATCCATCCGATTGTTAGCCCCTGCAGTTGTTCCTCTTAACCTATACCACAGGTAGATCCATAGAAGAAAGCATAGTGCAAAAGAAAAGTTCAACTCTTACTGTCAGGAAAGTTGAGTTTCAAAAGAATAAAAAAGATGCAAAATCCAACAAACTACACACTTCCCCTTCTCTTTCTCTAAATGCAAGCTAATTTCAAAGGATAAAAAACTCTTCTGTTTCTATATTCAATTTTTCAGAGAACAACTGTTTAAGCTCATGCAAACAAATCTTCCACAACTATAAAATGCCAAGTGGACATATCAAAGTGATGTAAGATAAAGAAGGATAAATTATAATTATATTTTGGATTTCGATGATTTTATTATAATTTTGTACAAATTATTTTTTAAGTGATTTATAGACTTATTAAGGTAATCACAGTACAAATATTGTCATGGTAGGATGTTGTACAGGTCAGGCTTATTTATTTAATATTACACTTTCTCTTATGTTTTATTTGTAGTGGTCAAATACGTTCTTTTTTGGTTCTTTGCTGATACTCACTTAACATGCAGGCTGAATTGTGCGCTATCAAA